CTCATCCTCTGGCCATGTGTTATGGGCTGAATTTTGTTCCCTTTCCCTATAAATGTATATGTTGAAATCCTAACCCCTAGTACTGTTATAGCTAGACTGGATTCCTATGCCCACTGCTCAGAAAATATAACTGATGCAACCATTACAGTTAGAGAAAGAGTTTAATACTGCAAAGCAGCTGAGTGAAGAGGTCAGGAGGAATATCACAAATCCATCCCCCCCATACCCCAGAAATTCAGAGGATAAGGTTTTTAAAGGGAATTTAATGGGCAGAAGGACAGGTGCTGCAGACTGGTTGATGATGCCATGGGGTGGAGGCCGTCTTCCCTTTGAAGTGCCAATTTCGGTGAGATGACCAGTCAAATTGACTTCCTGGTATTCTGGCCTGGTTGAGGTTTGAGGTCCATCTGAGTAGAAAGTCTGAAAGAGATCTGAATACTGTTCTTAGGTGTTACAATAGATGCTTGCTTATTCATGAGGCAAGTTCAGTATCTATCAGTGCCCCACCCCCATCCCTGAGCCATTAAGGACATAGTCTAGGAGGAAAGTGGGGTTCTTAGAGATTGAAGTTGCTTTTAACTTTCAGTGGCTTCTCCTCAAGCAGTCTTATGTTGATTGACCTTGCAAGACAGCTCCTCCTCCTCCCCAGGGGTGATTGGGAAGGTAATTGAAAGTAGACGAAGAACAAAAATATATTTGTTAATTTCTAACCATTTCTGCAGCTTTTGCTTCATGACCTGATATTAATTCTATATGGGCGATTTTAGTACCTCAGAGTGTGACTATTTTTGGAAACAGAATCTTTAAATAAGTTATTAAGGTAAAATGAGGTCATCAGGGCAGGCCCTAATTCAACAAGGATTGGAGTCCTTATAAGAAAAAGAGATTAGGCCACACACATGAACAGAGGGAAGATGTGAAGACATAGGAGAAGCCACCTACAAGCCAAGGAGATAGACCTCCGAGGAAACCAACCCTGCTGACACTTTGATCTAAGACTTCCAGAATTATGAGGAAAGACATTTCTGGTGTTGAAACCAACCAGTCTATGGTACTGATATGGAGACTTGCTAATGTCTGTCAGTGTTGCCACATCCCCTAGAGAAGGGCATGGTAAAGGTTTAAGTACTCCTGTGCATTCCTGAGAGCTAATAAAAGATGCGCTTTATCTCCTATGCACTCCCGGTAACTTTAAAGGATCCTTAACTTCCCTGTAGACTCTGCCCAATAAACCGAGAGATATATCACTGAACACATTCCTGAGCGTCCCCTTATCTCCTATGCACTCTCACTAAGTAGCTTCAGGGGATCCTTGACTTCCCTGCTGACTATGTCCAATAAACTGAAAGATTAAACCTCCATTTACTCCTTTTTCTTAGTAGCCATAGGTTTGATTAGTATAGTATCAATGTAATTGTAAGTTTTGTGATTTGTATAATGCACGATGTCTTAGGTCTTGTAAACTCCCTTTGGCAAGCTTGATAACGCTTTTGCCAGGCCTTACTGATAAAAGCTGTGAGATACCTCTAGTACTTGGCAGCGGGAAGTCTGGACCATAAAATGTCACTATTGGTAAAATGTGGCTGTAACTTAAGTTCTATACAATGCTCTGATGGCCATGTGGCTAACCTATTGGAACCAACAATTCTGAACTTATAAAAGTGGACTGTAAAACCTAAAGGGCGAGCAGAACCACTTTAAAGAGACCAAAAGCCCGCTCTGCTCCCTGGATTTGAATTCAGAAATAAACTTCTTTTCTTATTTTAAAGATGTGGGGTACAATTTAGGGATATGTGTACAAATGATCATTATGCAGGTACCCTTGTTGATGAGATGTGCTCCTCCCTCCCCTGGCAGTTTCCCTCAACTGTCAATCCCACCCCCCTTCCTGGCAGTTTCCCATTTTCTTATAGTATTATGATAATTGTTCAAGATCCACTTATGAGTGAGAACATATGGTACTCTGTTCTTTGTTTCTGTGATAGATCACTGAGTACGATAGACTCTAAATCCATCCAAGTTGCTGTGAAGTCCATATGTTTGTCCTTCTTTATGGCTGCATAATATTCCATTGTGTATATGTACCACTGAAATAAACTTCTTTCTACCAGTTCCCTGTCCCTTTGGTTTATTGGTACCAAGGGAGAGCAGCTGAGAGTTACTTAGACCATAACAGTACTTTGGTATGGCAGCACTAGCAAACTAACATGCTGTGTGTCATAGTCCATTGTGTTAGGTTAAAAATATTGGCTGAGTGTGGTAGCTCAAGCCTGTAAGCCCAGTACTTTGGGATGCTGAGGCAAGAGGATTGCCTGAGCCCAACCTGGGCAACTTGGTGAGACCTTGTTTCTATAATAAATTAAAAAATTAGTCAGGCATGGTAGCCCATCCCTGTAGTTTCAGCTGCTTGGAAGGCTGAGGCAGAAGGCTCGCCTAAGCCCAGCAGGTCGAGGCTGTGGAGGCCGGGAGTGTGCCACTGCACTCCAGCCTGGGCGACAGAGTGAGACTCCAACTCAAACAAACAAAAAACTCAGTGGGACCTCCAAACATGTTAGGTTAAAATATATCCCAGTGGGGCCTCCAAAAAGTTAGGTCAGACCTGCCAGGGTGGGATTGTGTCATCTGGTGCCAGGTGAAAGCTGCAAAGAATTGCACAGAAGTTCGATTAGAAAACAGTTTATTTAGAAAGTAAATGAGAGATAGAGAAGATTCACTTCTCCAAGGTGGGAGAGGGGGCCAAAGCTTAGGAAAACATGGCGGCAGCCAGAACTCAAAGAGCACAT